GTTTGTGAGCATCATACATAATAATCCATTGTGTCTAGCTATAGTGTGTTCATTCTCTTGATGGAATTGTATAAATATGTGAGGATGTGTTTATTCAATTGTTAATAGATGTTTGGGATTGCTCCTATGTGAAGGTTATTATGAGCAACACTACTACAAACATTTGTATCTCCTATCTTCTCTAGTTATATGATTTGAGTGGTGCTTCTCAGTTGTAGGTTCTGTATATCTTTGTCCACATTAGAAAAATGTTTTCTAAAGTAGTTGTGCCAATTTATACTTCTGGTAACTATTCCTGTTGTTTCACACACTTACCAATATTATATAGAGTTTTGTGCTTGCAAACTTGATAGGTGTGTAGTATCCCATTCTTATTTTTAATTTTCATTTCTCTTAATACCAATAAAGTTGAATGCAACTTTTGTATGCTTCCTGACTATTCTAGGTGAAATTATATTAATATCTTTACAGATTTTTTGATGCACAATGCTAAATTGATCTCTAAAATGTTACACCAAATTCCTTAACACCAATACTCTCTAAATATTAAATAACTTTGACAATTAGAAAGGTGAAAATAAGCTTTCTTTATTTTTATTTCAAATTCCTTTAGTTATACTACAGTACATTCAGATGCTTAAAATGTTTTTCTAAAGCACTGGCAGGTATGTTTGTATCTCTTGTATTGTTCTATTGCAGATAGTTTATTCAGTAGCATTCCAGATATCTAATTTTTAAGCAAAACTTACTTAAAATATACTTGACTTTAAAATATAAGACAAGAATACCAGGACTTTGACAGGTGGAGAGAAGAAGGAAGACCAGATAGGAGTATTGACATCTAAAAAAAGACACAGTGGTGAGGTTTCTGGGATTTTTTTTTCTTCATGTATCCCATATTGGTTATTAAAGAATTTGGCACAACACAGAGATCCCACTGGACACAGATCAAAAAAAGAAAGAAAGAAAGAAAGAAAGAAAACCTAACAAAAGGCTACCTACTCTGGTCAAATGACCAAGAAGGGGAAAAACAGATAAATTAGAAAGTAACCTCTCTACTGTAGCTAAAATCAAAGCAAAAACTGTGACAAAGACTGGTGGGAAGCTTAGACTCTTACCATCTCAAAGAAGGCTACAGGAGACAGGATAATCTGGTTTGGTAGAAATTAGGCCTCTCTTTTCCATGGTGCCAGTGGAGACTACTTCTAGACTTCCACCTCCACTCAGCAACAATGAAGTGCTCTCTCTTGATATCAGAAAGGCCTAATGGTGCCAAGACTTTCACCACCATATTATCTCCCTTGACCCCACCCATAATGTGGTGCCACAAGGGGAACCGCAATGAGGCTTAATTACCTTTTCCAACTAGGGAGGGTACAGTGGATGCCCAGTGGGTGGCTGGAATGCTTACCTCTGCCCAGAAGGAATGAGGAGCCATCCCTGTGGGCTTCAATAGAGGTAGATGTTGACCATAAGTTCAAAGAAAGAAAAGTACTTCTCTGCAGAACTGAGAGACCACATAAATGATCTTGTTTGTGTTAGGCAAGAAGGTTTTGTTTTCTTGTGGTGCTGGGGTTTAAATCCAGGGCCTTGCATATACTAGGTAAGCACTCTACCACTAAGACAATTCTTTAGCCTTTTCCTTAACTTTTCAATCTAATCTGGTGTTCCTATGAAGGCATTTTGTAGATATGATTAAGATTTATAATCACTCATACTAAAACAGGAAGATTATTCTAGATAATCTGAGATAAGTGATTCAAGCAGTTTGAAAGGCCTTAAGTGCAGAGCTGAGGCTTCCTTGATGAAGAAATCCTACCTGTGGACAGCAACTTTAGTCCATATCTGAGTTCAAGCCTGCATTTCCTGATGATCTGTCCTATGAATTTCAAATTTGTTTAGCCACCTCCCACAATCACAGAAGACAATCTTAAGTGATTTACATATTTTTCTACTTTATAATTTGTACTAAAGTAACTATCGCTAAGTCACTATGGAATGAAATATAGCATAAACAATAATACTCCTTATATATCTTATTGGTCTCCTCCAGAATCAAGTCCAACCATCATGTGTTACACAAGATCACATGACAGTAGCAGGCCTCTCTTAGTTGGATCTGGTGACCTGGAGGTATTTGAACATTGGTGGGTCAAAAGTTCAATTTCAGTAGAGTAGTAGATATGGAAACCAGTACCAGTGGGTAAGAAGTGAGGAAATGGAAGAAACGAAAATAGAATACATTTGTGAGAAGTCTGAAGGAAAAGAGTAGTTTTAAAAATCACAGGGATTGAACTGTCAAATGAGGTTTGTTTTGCTTTGTCTTATTTTCTCTTGTCATCTAAGGGAGTATTTGAAAAGTAAATGATGAAATAAAGATATTCAGGAGACTAGATGGGTTTGGACCAAGGAGAACAGAAGAGAAAGGTTGAAAGGAGAAAATATCAGAAGCAGAGAGAGACCTTTAGGTAACTCAAGACGGTTGAACTTGATTCTGGGGTTCCATTTTCCCCACATCCTTGCCAGCATTTTTTGTTGTTTGTTTTCTTGATGATGGCCAATCTGGAATGAGATAGAATCTTAGTGTATTTTTGATTTGCATTCCCTTGACTAAGGATATTGAACATCTTCATGTATTTATTATCCACTTGTACTTCTTCTGAATTGTGTGTTCAATTCATTTGCCCATTTATTTTTAAGAACATTTTTATTAGCATATATTAGTTGTATGGTGGAGGAGTATTGTGACATTTCCATATATGTTTACAATGTACCTTGGTTAGATTTACCCACTCCATCATTCTCCCTCATATTCCCTTCCTTATTTGCCCATTTGTAACCTGATTATTTGTTCTTTTGCTATTTAATTTTGAGCTCTTTGTATATTCTGGATATTAATCCTTTATCAATTGAATATTTTCTCCCATTCTGTGCATTGTCTCTTTATTCTGGTAGTTGTTTCCTTTGATGTACAGAAACTTTTAAATTTGATGCAGTCCCATCTATCAATTCTTGCTCTTATTTCCTGAGCAACTGGAGTCCTATTCAGAAAATAATTACCTATGCCTGTATCTTCCAGTGTTTTCCCATAGTAGTTTCAAGTCTTATAACCTTTGATCCATTTACAGTTGATTTTTGTATAGGGTGAGAGATAGGGGGTCTAGTTTCAGCCTTCAGCATGTACAAAACCAGTTTTCCCAGCACCATTTGTTGAAGAGGCTATAGTTTCTACAATATATGTTTTTGGCTCCTTTGTCAAAAGTCAGATGACTGTAATTGTGTGAGTTTATGAAATAAAATTTTATCTTTTTATAAAACTCATAACAAAAGATGAAGTGGATAAAAAGGAAAGAAGTCCATGAATGGCTCCATTAATATGATTCATTGGCATGTTCTTTCAGAAAATAAAGAGAAGTCTTTCTTAGTTCTCTCTTGCTGATTAACAAATTACCCCAAGTTGATTGGCTTAAAGTACCAACACTTACTACCTCACAGCTTCCACAGGACAGCAGCATGGATGAGGCTGAGTTGGGTCCCTGCTCCCAGGGCTTTCATAGGCCTCAGTCAAGATCTCAACAGGAGTTACTGCCTCTAGGCTAAAATGGGGGAAAGATCCTCTTCCTAGCTCTCTCACATGGTGTTGGCTGGATTCACTTCCTTGAAGTTTAATGGACCAAAAGTCGCAGTTTCTTTCTGGGTGTTGGCTGGAGGTTGCACTCAGCTGTTTGCCATGTGGACCTTTCCATAGGGCAACTCACAGCATGGAAGGTGGTTTCATCAAAGAGAACAAGAGAGAAGAGAACAGGAGCCTGAAGAGGTTGAAAATCACAACCTACTCTGGTAAAGTAACATCCATTACTTTTGCCTTATTCTACTGATTGAAGTCTTTAGGTGTGGCCCACACGGGGAAAAGGAAGTGAACATCAGAATACAGAGATCAGTGGCAGCCATTTTTCAAGCAGCCTACCAACACAGTCCCTGCCCTCCAGGAACTTACTGTATAGCTGAGAAAGTATTATATAAATATCCAGAAAAGACAAAGATAAGCTGGCACAGTGACTGCCAATCAGTGTAGGTGTATGTGACTCTACTGTTAAGACACTGTGTTCCTGTCAGATTGTATATAACACATTTGAGATTGTCACTGATTTTTCAATGTATTGTGGAAACACATTACATGAAGGTTGCCTTCCTCCCCCTCCAGAATAATTGTCATAATAATGTAAAATGGAGGCTTAAAATGTTTCCTGAGAGCCCCGCTATATGTTTGCCCAGTAGCTCCCATTTTGTTTGCATTGCAGTTACTTCTATAGTGTCTACATTTCATTTCCCACTTTTGGGTCAAGGCTCTACCTAAAAAACCTCTTCTTTAAGTAGAAGACACCTTTAACATGATATAAGTTCTTTTTATTACTACAGAAACTCAAGTTTCTCAACTCATTTACTGAGCTTTGCTCATGCTGTAAGAAAAAAATTTAATTTCTTAAAAATTACTATGATTTAATAATTAGCACATGGGCTTAGTGTTAATCGTAGTAATGTAAATCGTTCTAATTGCCATTAATGTATTTCTTGCAATATATAAGTGTAACCAAAGTATTTATGGCTTACCTTACAAGATTGTAACTGCACTACCCCTTATTTTAACAAGAACGGGGCTCCTGACAAGCGCCAAGGGCTCTTTTGGGCAGTTCCACCCCACACCACAGGTGGCAGAGCAGCCTTTCCTCGCTCTCGGTTTTTCGACATTTCTTTCGTCTCTGTTGGAATCGACCAAGTCAGTGGAAAGGGGGGGAAACTTCCGTGTGGTGTATCCAGACTTGCTTTCTTAAGGAATTCTTCCCCGGTCCCATGTGACTAGTTACTTAAAATACACTATATATGTGTAAATGCCCATGAGTAGTGACTACCAGAAACTCCTAGGGGCCGGCTTCGCGTGCCCAGCATCTTCGTTTTCCCTGCTCGAGCGGCGAAAGGTGCGGTCCGCCCTGCGAGGTTCGACCCGGAAGCCGCCGCGCTCGCTGCGCTCGTCTCTCGGCTGGGAAGCTCTGTTCTTTACAGAGTTGTTGGCCCGCTGGGTCCTCCTTCTTCAGCCTGTCCTGGCCCATGGGTCTCCATGGCGACAGCAGGGGCCGGGCCCGGGGACCCGCAGCCAGAGTGGGGTCGCGTCGCTCTGGGGGCCTCCGCGGCAGCGTCGCCGTGTTCGCCGCTGTGGCGACAGTGTTCACTCTCACGCTGCCCCCCTCGGTGCCGGGGGGAGACTCGGGTAAAGTACTCTAAGGGCGCCCCTCCTGTCACCTCTCTGTCCTGGTACGGGAAGGGCCGAGTCCCCTCGCGCCCTGGGTCGCGTAGGGTTCCGCCTTCCAGAAGCCATTCTTTTCCCCATCCCTGTAACTCTGCTTCTATGGTTCGTGGTTTACCGAACTCTCCACTCCCCCAAGTCATGCTTCTGATCCTGAGCTTCAGGTTCCCATTGGCTTTTAGTCCACAATACTACTTACCGAGCTCCTTTAGTGTAGTAGCAGTAGTGTTGAGGAAATGTCATGGATTATCCTAGACACACAAGTCCCCTAGTAAACATCTACATTTTAAGTGCTGGAGAGCTTAAGAGGACCACGTGATTCAGAAGGTCAGGACAGGTTTCCCGGGCAGTAATGTTTTCGCTGAAACCTGAATATTGAGAAGGATCCCGCCATGCAGGGTATTTGGAGAACTCTTTAAAAAGTGGAAGCCAGAGAGAGGCGACTTAAAGCATGCAGCTTGTGTGTGAAAAATTGAGACTACAAACAAGTTCCCTGTTGTGACCATCCGGCCACTGGTCATGCATACAATGACCAGTAATTTCGTCAGAATGGTGCTGCCGCTTAAAGTAGTGAGTGTGTATGTCCTAAAGAAACAGTGTGCTCTCTTTAGCTGCGTGAAAAGCTAACCCAAATTTAATGGCTGAAGCCGCAAACGTTTATCATCTCCCCATGTCTGTAAATCAGGAATCTGGATGTAGTTTAATTGGGTGCATTTAGAGGTTGCTGTCCATGGTGTAGGCTGGACCTGCAGTTCCTACAAGGCTCAACTTGGGGAGCATCTACCTCTAAACTCAATCTAGTCCTTTGCTCTGTGGATCTCGCCATAAGATAGCTGACTCTGTCAAGAGAAAGAGATAGGGCACAGCTGTCTGACACCTCTGCCATTTTGTAACTTAATCTTGGTAGTGATATGCCACTGCCCTATTTATTTGTGGGAGTCAGTGAATCCAGCCCGTTGTCAAGGGAGAAAGGATTACACAGGTAAGAATACTAGGAGTTGGGGATTATTGGGAGCTGTCTTCAAGGCTGCCTACCACGTTGAGGATCTTTGATGTTCCATATTTTGGTCATTACTTTTCCTCTTTCGTTCACATACTACAAAACAAATACGGGTAGAGTTTAATGTAGCAGGAAATGGAATTACCGGATTTCCAAGATTAATATTCAGTAGCTGGAATTGCTTTATAATTCTAAAGAGTTTGGACATTGGAGAGCATTACTCAGAGGTTAGGCTACTCTTAACCTATTAAAAAAAATTTGAGCCAGGCATGGTGGCTTATGTCTGTAATCCCAGCTGTTTAGGAAGTGGAGATCAGAATAGTGGTTCCAGGCCAGCCTGGGCAAAAATTATCAAGACCCATCTCCACAAATCAGTGGTAGTGCCCTGTAATCCTAGCTATGTGGGAGGCATAGTTAGGAAGATCTTGGTGTGAGGCTGCTCCCTGGCAAAAATACAAACCCTATCTGAAAAATGACTAAAGCAAACAAAAGGCTGGGGTGTGGCTCAAGTGGTAGAGTGCCTGCCTAGCAAGTGCAAGGCCCTGAATTCAAACCCCAGTACTGCAATTTTACAACTACTTAGGGTTTTTCAAGCCTGAAACATGAGAGTGGGATGAATAATAATTTAACATGGTGCCAGGCACTGTCCTAAGTGCTTTTTATGGATTGATTTAGCCCTCCCAGCTTCCCTGTGAGGTAGGTAATAATTATTATCTTCCTTTGTAGATGAGAAAACTAAGTAAGCTATGTCCAAAGTGACAGACAGCTAGTGAGTAAGTCAACTAGATTGACTTTAGAACACACTTTCTTAATGCCTAGTCCTTGTTGAAGAATTTGACAGGGAAATTCTTTGTTAAGTCCGCCATCACATATAGTGACATCTGAAATTTGTTTAAGATCTCTGGTTGTTATCTTGTTTTTATTAATACTGTGTTTTTTTCTCCAAAAGAATGAACTTATGTATTCACCTTGAGGTACCAAAGCTTTTAGGAGGTCTAATTTGTTTTAGTTTCATGCTAAATAGTGATTGATCTAATTTTTTATGTTCATTTTTGGGAGTGATCAATTAACTTTTCTATCTATATGCCAATATGGAAAATTTGTTTAATCATATCTTTGACCATTTTGTTTATATGTTGAATGTACTGTTCTTGAGTATTTATGAAATATATTTTCTATCAATAAACAGACCACATCTCAAAACCAAAATAAAGCATGTATTATTCTTCCTGATAATTATGTGGCTTTGCCAAGATTATTTTTTGCACTACCTGACATGCATAGTTCACTCACGGGTAGGAGTGCTCATGGTCCTTTGGGGGAAGGGGTGGGAGTCTAGCCTTTGCTATTTACTTGTATTTGGATTTATATATTTTACAGATAGTGACTTTAACAGGCTTGATATATGACAGTATAATAGTATAATTAACATAAAAGGGAGCTGGTTTTGTAAACTTTAAGCATCTGCCGATAACTCTGAGCTTGCTTCCAATTTGTATCCTAGACAACAAAGATGTGAGCTTGGAGTCTTGAAGCCAGAGGGTCTTCTCACATTGGAAGTTTTGGGGTATAGTCAATGAATCTTCCATTTAAAACAACAAAAAGGTAGTTCTGATGCAGGTAGTCACAGGACTTAACTCTAAGGAAACGCCAATGTAAAGAGTTGGGAGAAAGCAAGAACTCAGGAGGCCCTGAGTTTTGTTTTATTACTGCTCAGTTCTTTTCTTTTTATCACATTCAATTTAAGAGCAGTATCTCTCTATAAAAGGTAGATTATAGGTTAATAGTGGCATCTTTTCTATTTAGACAATTTGACATAAGTTTTACCTTCAGATTTGTTTTTACAGCAACAGAACTCCAGGGAGGAAAATAGTATTTTTAATAGAATAGTCTATTTTCTTAGTGTTAAGTGTAGTTCAAATACATTTTAAGTGGAAGAGAATGAATAGTGACTTTGAAATTTTGAATTTACATGCTTTGTCACAAAGATAAAAGAACAAAAGCTTATCAAAATAATTTGAGATAGAGAATAGAAGAGCTATCGCATGGGGTAAAACTATAAAATCATATAAAATTTTCCTTTTTCAGATCTTACAGAACAAATAAGAGTACTGTTTCATTAGGGCATTAGAGAATGGAGTAATCAGGAATAATTCGAAACAGTTTTAGACCATAAACAGTTTCTTTTCTTTTCCTGTAGTTTGGTACTGCCTGCCTTTTCTGCTTATGTTGGGTTTCACTTTCTGTGTGCAGAATCCCTTGAAGAATCTTTTATAGTGGTGGCTATAAAAAATTTCTTTAAAAAGTATACAGGATACAAAAAGAACCTCAGTTTCTAAGGTGCTTGTGACTATCTCCAGAAGTCTTAGAATATATCTTTAGGAATACCTAAGTGGGCCTTAGGGAGCAGTCACTTGCCTAAGAGTAAGATTTCTGACCTGCACGATAACTATGTGATAAGTTTTTTTGTAAACCTCCATGTGCAAGGCTTGAGTTAGACTCTTTGTGTGCAGCCGGCGGAGGGACAGGTGGTGATGTCTTGGCAGAATCCTGAAATGGATAAGATAATGTTTTTAAACTTGGTGGGAGAGAGAAATAAAAATTAGCCAGAATATAAGGCAATCTAAGTAAGCTAAATTAGACTCGGGCAGCTTCTAAAGAGGAGAAAGAAGTGATTAATTCGGTGGAGAGGCTGGAGATAGGTGTGTAAGGTGCCATTGGAATGGTGGCAATTGAACTAGGCTTTGAAGGACTTAGGGAAGAGTGCTAGGAGAAATATTCCAGGGTGAGAAAGTGAATGATAAAGGGTACAGAAGTCTGAGAGGAACACTGTATGCAGATTTCACACAGTGAACATCAGTTACATGGAGATAAGCCCTACCAAAGTAACCTTGAAGCCATACATGACTTCAGTGCCTTACTGAGGAATCTGAACCTCACTCACTCACAGAGCAGCCAAGGAGAATTTAGAGGAGGGGAGTAGGATCCCCAGCCTATTTGTTTTGTGTATATGCCTGTGGGGTAGGGAGTAGGAGACATAAGTAATTTCAGTATGAAAATGAACTAAAGTAGGTTGGTCATGTCTGTTGCTGTGGTCCAGGCCAGAGAAGGTAAAGCTCTAGATCATGGTGAGGGCAGTAGAAATTAAAAACAGAAAGTTGGCATCTATTGAATGATAGACAATATATGTTAATCCCTTTACTAATAGGTAACAGTCTTTCACAAGTTACTACTGATTTCTTACATTGCACTGTCCTACAGTGTATAGAGATGAGTAAGAATAGCATCTATGTTCTATTTACTTAAAATATTAACAAATACACATTGAATTATTGTATCACAGTTTTCGAAATAGCCACTAACAATATAAAGAGAATAATCTACTGGTTTAAAAACATGTAGATCTTATTAAAAGAACCTAGAAGAAAATTAAAGATACCTAAGTCTAACCTAAGTAATGTAGGCAAGGTATCCAAATGCCAGTGTTAGGATAGTGTGATACATTTTATTATTATTATTTTTTTTTTTTGGTGGGACTGGGCTTTAAACTCAGGGCTTTGTGCTTGCAAAGCAGATGCTCTACCACTTGGGCCACATCTCCAGCCCTGGATGGCTAACTTCTTGAGAGAATATAGCACATTATACTAATGCTATGAAAAAGTATTTATATATTTGCAAGTGAATATGACTCTCAGGAGGAAAAAAATTAGCATTTTTTTAAAAACTGAGAATTCATGTGTATTTTCACTGACCAGTTATTGAAAACTATCAAAGATAGTTATGACCTAAGGGAAAAAGTATTCTTAGACTATTTCACGCTGTTAAATCTCTACAGATTTACAGTTTTATCTGGTCAAATTAATGCAAAACCCCAATGCAAGCATTTGGATTTTGAAAACTTTGGAGGAGTGTCATTCTCTAACAGTAATTATTGGTTTTACATTATTTTTTCACAGGGGAACTGATCACAGCCGCACATGAGCTTGGAGTAAGTATTAATTTTATTGTTTAATCAATGCTCTCATTAACAGTTTTAGGAATTAAGAAAGTTTAATTAAGCATGGAGTAAAGTAGATTAATTTATTCTCAAACCCTAGTTTTTAGTAACTTATAAGTACAGTACGTGACAATTTACTTTAAGTTTTAAATCCAATTAAACTAAATTATAAAGCAAAGCCTTTACTATATATACAGTAACTGGCTTATTATCACCCCAAATTTTGTATAAGCTGTGGAGAATAAATCGGGTTAACAGTTTTAATAAGTTTATTATTTAATAAACTTTATTATGGCGTATGATCCCTTTAGTCAAGACCTTATGACTGTCAGCATGGTGGTAATCCGATAGCAGTGTGGTCTTTCAACTTTCTAACCAAGATGTTATTTCAGAACTTGTTCTATTTCAGTAGCCTTTTAAATGACCGTGAACCTAGAGAACAAACTGCTTAAGAACTGACAATGAAATATGTTGCCCTTTCTCTAGGTGATGTACCCTGTGATAGACACTGCCAAGTCCAGTAAAGAAAATATTGATTTATATTGGCACAAGGGAATTACAATAGGAAACCACTATTCAAACATTTAGTCATCGGCACTTAATCTTTGTATTTGCCTGTAAGAAAGGCTACTTTTCAATTAAAGCCAGTGTGATTCTTCTTTCCTGGATGAAAACCTTCTTACTTGCTTATTTCTATAGGTTGCTCATCCTCCTGGCTATCCTTTGTTCACACTGGTGGCTAAACTGGCAATTATACTGTTTCCTTTTGGTTCCGTTGCCTACCGAGTCAATCTTCTCTGTGGCTTGTTTGGAGCAGTAGCTGCATCATTACTTTTTCTCACCGTTTTCAGGTAAAGTAGTTGATTAGTTAAAATTCATTTGGCATAATTAGAGATGTGGGTCTCTTATGGCCAAATACATACATTGAAAAAACCTTTTGTTGCTTGAGTGGCTTCCCTAACTCATGTAATTTTACTTGCTTAATTTGCAGTAATTTCATATGCATTTGACCCTTCAAACACTTACACAGTTGGTTCTGCTTCATACAATGGAGTGAAGGTGTCTCTGGTTATTATCCCAGTTCACTGGTTAGGCAGAACTAATGAGGTTTGTCATTTTATGAAAATGCAGATGGACCAGTTTAATTCAATAGTATGAAGCTTGTCTTTTGGCAAATGGTAAATACCATTTAATTACTCATAGTCTCACTGATGGGCAGCTGCGTATCAGGCCTAATATTGTATTCTAAATATGACCATATTGTATACTTTTTTTAAATGAGTTTTTAACCAAGAAAATCACATTTGGGATATGGTTTTAGTAAGGTTTCAATTTGTTCCTTTATAGCCATAGGGAAGGGAGGCAAGTTAGACCCCATTTATTTCACTAATGGAAGCTTTCTTAGTTTGGAAGCTATCCTGTTTTTAAATTGGTCATTACTTTAGGATATTGGTAAATTCGTTTGTCTTTGATATTTCTGTCTCCATTCTTAACTTATTCTAACCTAAGCCTAAGAGAGTGACAATGAAAAATACAAATTAAATTTGCTGATAAAGGGAAAAACCAAATTAAAACACTTCTTCCAAAAAGTTTTGCAAGTTTTTATAAAAAATAATTTTTGAACATTAATGTACTATAATTGAGTAGACATAGTTTCAGATTTTTTTTAAATTAATACTTTGTAATAGTCATAGTATTTCTCTTTACGTAAATTCTTTCTGAAATTTCCTTTGAACTATTTATAGGAAGGTAAAAGTTAACATAAGTCTAAAATAATATTTTAAATCTATCTTTAGAAAGGTTTTAGATTCAAATATTGTAGCTGTTGATTATTTGCTAAACTTTATCTATACCAGTTAATTTGCTTCTATTGAATCTTGCATGTTTTTGGTGATAGCCAAATCTTTAGGTACGAAATGTTTAAAATAACATCTCTGCCTGATGATTAGTATTATGAATACTTTTTTTTTCTAAATGACTAGAATGGTTTTGATTAGCATTATTTCTTCTGTGTCTTTTATAATTAATCTGCCAGTGTTTTCACTGAGAGGAAAAACTGATATTTGTATTTTTAGATAACTAGGTTGAAATTTGGAACTTAACATGTCCTGTATTGAATATGTGAGTTACTAATTTTCACAAGACATTTTCAGGCACACATTTAAAGAAACTAATATATTTATTGTGTAGTTCATCTGTATTTTAAAAGATTTTTATGTAACATGCATATAAATACTCTTAGGCAAATAAAGTGATTCATTTTCTAAAACTTCCACGTTTATTGTGGGTGTCATTCCACTATAAAAATCATATGTAAAAACCTTTTCAGAATCCAGATAACTTTAGACAATAATTTTCTCTTCAGTTGGCCACAATGAAAAATATCCTTTATTAATTATTATCCTTGATTATATGGGTTTTAGATAAACATACTAGACTGTGACCCTTTTCTTTTAATATACAGTGTTGATGATAAATTTTGTGCTTGCTGACATGTTCTAAATTAAAATTCTAATACCACTAAACTGGCTATTTGAGTGGTTTTAGTTAGTAATATAGGTACTTCAGAAAAGTTGTGTTCTTTCCAAACAAAAGGAACTAACAATATTATCTCTCACATACATTTTAATATGAAAATACTTTATTATTTTGAATATAAATAACTGACAAGGTACATGTCCTTTGGGAACAACCTAGCTCAAGTGGCAAATCTGTTTTGTCAAACAATGGACACCCTTCAGAAAGGAGAAGCCATCTCTATGGTAATAGGACTAACAGTAGCCTATTGATTGAGTGGAAGAAGACATTATACAATGTAAGCTGGCTTGTTACAATTTCATTTGTTGTATGACCTAAACTTAACCTCTAAAACCTTTCTTCTGTGAATATAAACCCAACAGCAGGACAGTTTTTGTACAGCCATTACAGTGATGGCTTTTTTCCAGCCCTAGCATACAGTAAATATATTCCTTTACAGGTTGCCTCCTTTCTCAGAATTTGTTTAGGAGACATTTCACTACTTTATTCATTTACAGCCCAAATCATCATTCCATTTTGTTGTTGAATATCGAAGGGTTTTGATCCAGGAAGCAGTTTTATTCTTTCTTTCCCCCATCACTTAAGAGAACATTACTGTACATGTGGGATTAGTGCTGACTGGTGTGCAGCAAATTAATTCTTTTAACAGGTTTAGGGTTTTTTTTTTTTCAGGTAATTGTTCACATAGCATTCACTATATTTAGCTCTTAGGGTGGACATAAAGACCTTCTGTACCTTTTAAACAAAGATTGTATTTCAAAAGCAAATTTCTGTTTAAATGTGTTGATGTAAAAAGCTCCATTTTTTTCAGTAAACATGACTTAGATTGAAAGAACAATTTATTCGTTGTTTCAATTACTGTGTAATTTTTGCTTTTCTTGCATCTTTCTCTTGCTTTTAAAAGCCGTAAGATGTCATTAACACTGCATTTTTTGTCAATCTTTCCTAATGGTTGGCAAGAACTCATTTGTATTTGCTGTGCTCTAATGTGGAAAGTACGTGAGTAAAGCAGGGCTTTGAAAGCCGTATGTGTCACTGTAGTTTATTGAATTAAAAATAGTAAGATTGTGGCAGCTTCTGTATTTATTTATGTATTTTCCCTTTAAGGGATACTTTTAAGTATGACTTATGTTAGAGGAGTTTAATCTAATACATTTCATTTATATGAAATAATACTCATTTAATTCATCTGTACATCTGTATATTCATTAAAGCTATGTAATAAAGTTAGTATTTTATAGGAACTGAGATTTTTCTTTTTAAGGCCATTGAAGTAAATGATTTTTAAGTTAGGTAGTATGATAGGTCCTATCTGTAGTTCACAAATCCTATTATTTAAAAATTTTAAAAGTTATGGGTTACTATAAATCACAAATATAAACAACATTTAACTCTGCTTATAATCTTTGAATTTCAAAATTATTTCCTAGTAAAATTGAAGTAGGTACTATGTAGTGAGTAAGGAGGAATGCTAAAGTCATGATTGTCAAACATGTGTATCAAACACATTTTGTATGTGCTAGAAAGGAGAAGGAAGTGTGTTGTATAAAAATGCTGCCTCAGGGAAGATCTAACTTGCACATGATCTCAGATGAGGACATATCTTACAGCATTTATTTTGGTAACTATAGGACAGGGAATATATTCTTAACAGGCTTGAATCAACAAACTATTATTATTACTATTATTTCAAACTATTTAGTAGCTAAATAGAACTATAGAAAAATCCATTCAACTCTGTTTGTATAGCACTCATGTGAATTGAAAGTAAAACTCATAATTGAAATTAAGTGCTTATTTTAAAGAAAGTAAGATAAGTCACTAACCGTTAAAAAAGCAAGTTTTCAGATATATTTTCTAAAAGCACAGTTTTAAGAAACTTGAATGAAAACACTTAATACCATTAACATTGTCCAGTAGGAAATCAGATCTCATAACGTCAAGTAGGTTACTTCGAATAAATGAATATTAATAATAATTAAAGATACATTGAAATTACGCTTGCTTACTACAATAACTTATGATCAATTTCAGTAATACTTAAGTATTTTCTGGCAGGTTATTTTACACATTTTATGCATGGGATTTTGTCATATTTATAAGTTACGTATTTCTAAACATTATGTTGCTGATAAGAATTAATTTGGTCGTAGTTTTTAAAAG